CACAACGATCTGGGATTCGACACTATCCCGGAGGTTGTGAAAAACATAAGTGAAATCCATCACAACAAGATTATCAACCACAATAACCTTACATTAATTCCTATATTATTGCCATCAACTGTTAGAAGACTGCAGAAGAAACATCCCTTACATCTAATGCAGTAAAATGGAATAACTCACTGGAGTGACCTCCTTGAAATAAACAGAACTCCAGTACTATTACTGCAGTTCTAAAAGTCAGAATCAACAATCAAATTTTCTGTTTATGATTGCTATTTGATTATTGTTAGATTTGCTATTTAAGTATTCTTGTGGGCCTTATAAGTAATGTGTTGTAATAATTTTTCTTAACAAATTATGTCGGTTTTATAGGTGGCAGGCAACCCTATAAATCACTATTGAATAAATTCATCACTAATGAATGGTTGTAGCAATACCTAAAAGCGGTTATTTTCACTTGGTAATATATTGTCATCACTGACATTTTTGTGTTTTTTCTGCTTATTAAATGCTTACCTTGTAATTTGTAATGTAATTTTCCTATATTTGTCGTTCATGTATTTTTGTAGTATTTGTAAACAATATTATAAAGTTTAATGATTTAGAAGCTCTGATAGTTGGAAAATGCAATTCAAAACTGCATCAAAACTATTGTTTTGATAATATAATGTTCACATTTTGGGAGTTGTTTTACAGAATTTATAGATCGATTCTGCCTCTAAATAGACCAATGTTATGGCAAGGCTATGTTACGTTCCAGTTTTTATACATGCACATAAAATGCAACTTTACTCATATGTTATCAAGCCATATCTCAAAAATCCAGTTATGATAACATCGATTTTTGTGCGCTTTCTAGGTTAGGATTTCTATCTAAAACGCCTGACTGCACAGCAACCACATAGGATTTTGACAGCTTTTAGTGTCACTTTATATGAAAACTGCTACATAACATAGCCTTGCCATAACATTGGTCTATTTTACGGCAGAGTCGGCTCCTAAGTTTTTTTTTAGTCAAAAATGTATTTTTTATAGACCAGGAGTGATCTTACAATTCTTCTGGATCGTTACATTTAAACATTTAAATCTGACAATGAGTAGAATAATAACAAATTCTATGATACAAAATCCATAAATATTATAAACAACTTTTCAATATTATTCATAAAATAGTTTTTTTAAATTATCATATTTGTTACAACTGCTAAATAATTTAACACTTTCGGGACGGCACCGATTTCAAAACAATCTACTTTACCGGCTGTAAACTCGATTTCATTCTGTATGTTATGCAATTTGTTTGTTAAAAATTTGTGGTCATTGAAGGACATACATTTTTCATATTAATTTATTTTTGATCATTTTATAAAGAATGGTGACATTCAAAACAATTTCCAAAATGCATAGCTGGTTCATTTTGACATGTTTTACAATAAAATGTTGTTCGCCGCCTTCCTCCTGGTGCTTTTCTGTCAAAACAGACAATACAATCCATTTTTCATTCACTCGCATTTAGAATATGCCACTGATTAGTCAGTATATTTGGTCACTTTTTGCTGCCATAATGGTTTATTTTTTCTATTATATTGTTTAAAAATACATTTATAAAATATAAAGTAAAATAATCTATTGGATGTCTTATATTGCTTGGTATTTGTAGTCGGGGTGTTTGTTGATGTATGTCAAACTCGATTATTGAAGGAGAATCGGCACATTCGCTAATGTCTTCCCGCTATTCATTTATTTTGTCGAACTTCTTTTTGTTGGTTGGATAATATCATCATCACATTCATCATTATCATCGGTGCGAATAGTAATTTCGTAAAATTTGTCTGTATGAATGTCTATTTGAAACTCATCTTTACTACTGCTTAATTCACAAAATTTACTAGTCGTTTTGCCATATTTAAAAGCGCTCGGTCGTTTTAAATATTAAAAAAAGACCGCATAGCAAAGAAAAAGGCTAAAAATACTACTAAAATAATTTAAAATTATTTTCAAAATACAATACTGTTTATCACTGCTAGATGTAATTTATTCAACTTTTCGATGTAAACTGAGTCATTGTTCATAAAATATCCTGTACCTCGCAGAGTATGTTTGTCCACTGAGGTGGACAGCCGTCCCCAAAGTAACAATAATAAACAATAACATAAATTTAAATAAAAAAGAGTACAAAACTAAGAATATTATTTTCAATAAAATGATATCCGTAGTATGACGATAAATTCATAAAATAGTAAATTCCAAAATATTTCTCAAATCGCATACTTTTGCTGTGGTATCACAGTTATGTTATTCTACATTGGGAGTTTCCGGGAGGGAGATTCTGCACGTAAAACATTGGCATTCGTTGCCAATGGCGTGTTCCAACATCGCCCCTCCCATGCGAGCGCTAATTATTGAAGCGCGGTTGGCTCGCCTCTTCGTGGGTCCAGATCCCCGCGCTGCGGTGAATCTGCGGAGCGTAGTCCGGAAACTTTCTACGGCGACGCGACGGTCTCTCGACGTTCCAACATATGATAATTGATGCTCCGTAAAAGAACGGGTTAGAGGCAGAGAAGATACTTTTTAGAAATTTTTTGTTTTGTTTGTAACGTTATAAATTATATTGTAAAAGTTAGAAAAATCAAGTTGAATAAATAAATAAAAATATATTGAAACAATTAGAAAAATTGAGTTGAGTAAAATTGAGCAATCAAGATTTTTTTTATTTTCTAACTTAAAGTTTAGAATATATTGGCAACATTTTGCTTGTATTATTTTCCATATATTTCATATATTTCAGATACAGGATTACCCTGACTAAGGAAAAAAAAATAACTCTAATAAAAAGCTAAAACGGCGTTGAGTCTAATATGAAAACCGGACAGGAATATCCCTTTAAGGTATAATAGTCTAGTCATTTAAGCTTAAATTAGGTAAGAATCTCGGAATTCGAGATACACAGCTGTAAGTCTGTAAATACTTGTATTTTGCACCCTAAAAGTTGTCTCAAAACCTACATATGGTAAGGTGTACGCTACATATATAGGTTTTGAGACAACTTTTAGGGTGCAAAATGCAAGTATTTACGGATATCTACAGCTAGGTGTCCCAAATTCCGAGATGAACTTACTATAATGTCTGGACTATAAAGGGGTATTCTGGTCAAGAAAAAAAGACAATTTTGTTTTTTTGGTATTTTTAAAGTTTCAATTCAAGAATTTGTATACAAGAGGATTTTTCAAAATAAAATTATTTTCAGAGATGTAGCTGTTTGACCACGATAATCTGCCTCTGTTTTCTACCTTCGCGAAACTTTATACTCGTTTTTCCCGAAATTGTCTTTTTCGATACGATACCCACGATTCCTCAACTTCTAGTGGATCGATTTACTTGAAATTTCTACAGAGTCTTCTTCATAGACATATCTTCAGTATGAACTACTTCTCAATTTACGATCTATTTTTAAAAAGTTGATTGTTCTTATCATGCGATTGCAAAATTCTTAATATTTTTTTTTCTTCATATTATTTGCAGTGCTGAAATTATGGTTATGGTCCGGTGACAATTTTTTAGACTTCACTCTTTATCACCATCTAGAATTAAAACTTTACTATTTTAAATTTTTATATTTTTCTTTAATTCTAAAAATTTTAAATAATAACTTTGAAAAAAATATTAGAATCAAAAAGCATTATTTTAAACTCATTCTGGTTCATATTTTTGTACTTTTCATATTACACGTATCGTCATTCATGAAAATGGTCGTTTTTTCACAAAACTAATTTCCTAAATATTTTATTATTTTTTATTTTACAGTTGAAAAGTTTTTTTTAATGTAGATAATATATATATTCCTGATTTCTGTTTTAAATTAACGATGTGTGCTTCAATATTAAGTACCATTCTGATTTTTTCGATTACCATTATGTCAAAATTATTGTTGCGCCAGTCGAATAAATATTGAGATTTTTTTTATTAGTTTCTTAATTAACTTCCAAAGGATAAGTTTAAATTTTTCTAACGATATTTACTTATTTGAAAGAAGTATATTAATGGACTGATTCTGTCGTAAAATAACCCAATATTATGGCAAGGGTATGTTACGTTTGAGTTTTCATGCAAAATGCTACTAAATACTGTCAAAATTTACTGTCCGATCAGGCGTTTTACACATAAAATTCATCTTCACTCATATGTTATAATAATATCGTTTTTGTTGCTATTTGTGCGTTTTCTAGGTTAGGTTTTCTATCTAAAACTCCTATCAACAACCACATGGGATTTTGGGAATATTTAGTTCAACTTTATATAGACACTGCCTTACATAACATTAGCACTTGCCATAACATTGGTCTATTTTACGACAGAATCGGCTATGATAATAAACAAAACAAGTAAATAATATTTTCAATGCTAATGTTATTTTTCAAGTCAATACAAATGGATGTTATTAAATAAATTAGAAATGAAATAGAAATAAAAATTAGAATTCTAGTGAAAAACTGTGTAAAGTATGTTTACTGATACAACTACAGGTTAATAAATATAATTTTGATACGATAAATTAAATATAAAAGCATTATAAATGAGAAAACTAATTGGTAAATTGCCACCAGACTTCTGAATTTTTGCAAGTAAATGTATTTACATGTACATTAAAGTTACTTCTTTCCCTTAGTCAAGGTAATCGTGTATCCGAAATATATGAAATATATAAAAATCATCGTCTATGATAATAAACAAAAACAAGTAAATATTATTTTCAATGTTAATGTTATTTCTTAAGTCAATACAAATGGATGTTATTAAATAAATTAGAGACTATAAATAAAAATTAGAATTCTAGTGAACAGGTTAATAAGTATAAATTTTATGTGATAAATAAAACTTAGACCTACATATTATGAATGAGAAAACTACTTGCTAAATTAGCACTAGACTTCTGAATTTCTGCAAATAAATGTATAAGCATATGCCATTCAAGTGTTATCAAACGTATTTTTATTTTACAGATTCAAACACAAAGCAAGCTGGTTGCATAATAAATTTTAGCTGTCACAATGCTTTCGGTGACAAAATCGGATCGGTCATCGGTCACATTGATCGGATATTCCAGTTATGTCAATTACCCCGATCGGGGCTTTCGGCAAACGTTTGCTGAAGTCTCGGTACCATCATGACAAACACACGGCGGCCGTTCCACCAAACACCGATCTGCTCAAGATTGCAGTTAATACCGTAGACAGGCAACGACTGCGAAGATATGGCCCTGAAAGAGTGAGTAGAATGGTTATATCATCATAATTTATTTGTACATATAGCTATAGCTTTGCTATAGCATATGCTATATTTGTATAGAACTCATAAACAAAATTGTTATACGTGGCAAATGTCGCTAAATTTAGGTAAGTTGATTTAAACCATCTCTGATGCATTATTGACTTCCGAATAATATATGTCCACTTATTAATAAGTGCAGTATTCTGCTTTGCAATAAAAATGTCATAAATATACGGACAAAAATGATTACTCGTTTTATATAAACTTATTTTTCTATCTATAACAAAAGTATTTTCTTTCGTTGTTAGTTTTGTTGGTTGTGAGCACTGTTGTTTTACTTTACGAGACCACTTTTTTTAGATATGTATACGTTGTTTTATAAAATGTATTAATAGTTTATATATGGGTGGGGTAAAAATGACTATAACTGAAACTTCACCACGACACAGGCGTCAACAGTAACGAAATGTGAACTAGTGGTGCATGGCATCGTACCTTAAGGCAAATTGCTGGAACTTCCCATACTAAAAATTTAAATTAAAAATAAAATTCAACTTTCTTATAGAAATCTCAAAAATATCGAAAATATCCATTTTGAAAAATTGGATTTTTTTATACTTTGAAATATTTTGGAAATTTTGAACTTTTTTTCAAAGCAATCGCGATAAGTTAGCTGCGTAGAATCAAAATATCGAAGCGCGTGAGCGCCGCGTCGCGTTAAAACCGATATGTGATAATTTGATGTGCATATGTCTAAGGATTATTTTTGTCTGCCAAATTGGCTTTTTTCACTTTTTGTTGGATCTCGGTTTTTGAAACCGCTAGACCTGTCTTCCCAAAAACTTCATCAGTTCTTTGCTTCGTGAATACAAATAAAGTCGAATCATACAAATCGGACGCTCCGTTCCCTCATAAAATCAATTACCATTTTTGGTACTTTTTGCCCCCGTATCTTCAGAACGGTTAGACCTTCCTTTGCCAAAAACTAATTAGCACGACTCCTTATCAATACGAATCGAATATTTTTTCACCTTAAAAGCAGACCTTAAAACAGCGATTTCCAGCCTGTGGGGCGCGCCTCCTGGCGCCAGGCTATTCTAAGGGGGGCGAAAATGTTATTAAAAAATGAACGAAAGATAATTAGTTTTTATGTATATTTTTACATGTTATTGCATATTAATTTGTAGTCTGATAATATCAGATGAGTATTTATAAAATTTAACAGTTGAAAAAATTAAGGGGGGCGCAACAATTTTATTTATTTATTAATTAGAAATTAGGGGGCGGTGCCAAAAAGATTGGTAACCACAGCCTTAAAACGTAAAGGTATGCAAAAAATAAATTAAATTACTATAACGGGAAGTTAATAAACATGTAAATTCAGTTAAAAAAGCAATTGTACAAATAAATTAAATTAATAGTTATTCCCACTTTGCTGATGAACATTTCTGACGGAATACCAAATCAAGGTTATGTACTGTGTTATCTTTGCCCACGAAATATAAATTTGTTCAACATTTTATATTTTTGTTTTGGTAGAATATTTTAGGTATTATTTCGAAAAATCCCTTTAAAATTTAACATAAGACGTATCTGTTTGAGAAATTTTAAGAAAATAATGGAAATATATACATTTATATAATTAGGAATTAACTGGGATAGATTACTGAACATAGTACGCTAGTAGTTTGATATGAGTTATGTTTTGAAATATTGAGATGTAGTTCATTTGGTTTAGGCAGTATATTTACTTATTGTTAGTCAAATTGGACCTATGTGCCTCGCCCTACCCTATTTTAAATATTTTTATTAATATTTTTATTAATATATTTGATATTACATTACTCAGTAACAAGTACATTTTTTACTTATATCATCGATTTTGTACTTAGTCCGAAAACCAATTACATGCGAGGTGTACCTGTATCTAGTGCATTTTAATTGTGGTTCTGCATGAGGATTCTACTAATTCAATTAATTTGTTTTCTTCGAAATTTTCGAAACTCAATCAAATACATTAATTTTTATCATCTCCACAAATTCTCAAACAATCATTTACAAATTTAGGTATGCGCAGAATGGATATTACGTAATGGAGGTTCGGTACGTTGGCACGGCAACAATAAGGAAACAATATCGAGTTATGCAAAACTTCAAAGAATGGGCACAGCAGGAAAATATCTCGATGTAATTGACGCCAGTGGAACTACTATCATGCAATATGGATTTCTTCATCTGCGAGGAGTTACCAGACTAAGAACCATGATCATGCGAAGGTATTTTGAAATCTAATATTCAGTAGTTTCTAGTAATATAGCAAATAGAAATTAATGTCTATTAGAAGAATAAAAAACTGCAAGGATATAAAGAAAAAGTACCAAAAAAATACCGTCCAAAATAAGCCGATTGTTTTAGAATTTCAAATTTAATAAATCGCAATTGACGCCAATGGTATTGAAGGTAGGTTGCAAATATTCTATTGGCTGCGAAACTCTCATATTCTGAAATTATTTTGTTGATTTTTGGTAAATTCAAATATCTTTTTATCAGTTTTGTCTGTTTACAAGCACTCGAACTAATAGAGATTAGGCTCCAAAATCTTATAGAAAATGGCGTTTAAAAGTTAATAAAAAAAAATCGTTTTCAGAGTTTTGCTAACATTTTTAACAATATAAACATTTTAGAACGTAATATAAATTGTTCTAAATATTTTGAAAAATAATTTACGAAAATTAGCTCATTCAGTTGAAAGTTACTCTAAATATGCCAATGGATATTCAATGAAATTTGGATACAAGTATTTTTATGTATACAGTATTGTATAGAGATAATTTAGAGTACACTTTTAAATAATACTAGATTGTTGTTAACTATACCAGTAATTGTTCTATTTATGATTGATAAAATTAGTTTACACTTACAAATCGATTTCTCTAACCGTTTACTTTTAATGCTTTCCTTTTAGTTACTTTTTTAAAGAATATATCTATAGTAGTAAATAAATAATGCAACACGAATAATAAATTATAATCCGTTTTCTTTTATATTACAAATAGCCAATATGTTTCAATATAATTTCACAAAGCTTATCCAACGGTTATCAAAATTATTTTGTGTTAACAAAATATTCATTATAATATTTCTGATAATTGCGAACTAGAACTAGAAATATTGAAATTAGCAAATTCTTTCAAATTCGTAGTATGATCAATTTTTCAGTAATTGATAAAGTACAGTTAACTCTCCTATACCGAGTACCGTGTAATAGGAAAATTGCGCTATAAAAAACTCGGGTTGAACAAGACAAACCAGGCTAATTGGCAGCGCGTACTATGAAAACCGGAATAGTTTATATATGGATATGATAAAATAATGAAACTAAAAAAACTCTTTTCCAACTATTTTTTTTTAGAAAGTCTAACGTGCTTTAGAAAGTCTAACTAAAACCGATGCCGTACACAGCTATGATATAAACTATCATGTTCATATTAACATATTCTAAAAGATATAAAAGCTGATAATAAAATTTATATTAAACTCTTACAATATGTAATTACTAGTCATTGACGGAAAGCACGGAAAAACTTATGGGGTGTTGAACGGAAACCGCGCTGTATGCGTTCCGCGTTATAGTAAGGTGACCATATTTAAAACCAAGAAGGCAATTTTTTACTTATGCTAATCCGGGACACGACGGGGGAGGGGGTTGCTTTTAAATATCAAATGCTACTTAGGATACAGTAAAAAAAAAAACAATTTTTTTACATGAATTTTTTTTTTTAATCGGAATTGCGGACTTTTAATAAGATCTTTTTTATCTATGTTCTATCTCTATGTATTTCTCGTTTTTGAGCCTCTATTCAATTTTCTTCATGATTAATTTGAAAAAAAAAATAGCACTCGTTTGTTTATTTTTATAATTTTTGTTAATTTATCTTTTGGTTTTCGAAAATCCTGGACAATCCGGGACAAAAGATCTAAATCCGGGACTAATATTGCTTTTAGAAAAACCCGAGACACAAGGTGAAATTCCGGGACTGTCGCGGCCAAACCGGGACGTATGGTCACCTTAGTTATAGAGCGTTTGCAATTTCAGCTCATAAGGAAATAATACGGAAATTGTCAGATTATCATGTTATGGAAAAGTTGACTGTATTTTATTTGCTATATTTCAATTAATGAAAATCTACTTGCAAAATGTCTACACCCACATACATATTTTTATCAAAGAGTTGCATATTGATTACCGTCCGTCATCATTTACATTCAGATTTAAAATCAGTAATAATTAAATATCAATCAAATCTAAAATTCTCTGAAATTGATAAAGATGCGTGCACGTGAACGATGACTGCATGCCGATGCTGGTCTTCGTCCGGAACAGTTTGAAGCATCTAGAAGTGGTCGGATGCCCCAACATCACGGCCAGAGGAATATACGCTTTAGGCGCCCTCCAAAACCTAAATAAACTCGTTTTGGGAAATTTGCCCGGTTTCCAGCACCGATTACCCACGTTGCTAATTCTCAAACGATTGTTGCCACGTTGTAATGTAGTTTATGATGGAATGAAACACTAATTGTAAAACTTTTTGACCTCAATAGAACACACACAAAGATAATAAAAATCGCCACTGTAAACATTATAAACAAATAGAGTTGTTCCGTAGGCGCATATCTGTATTTGTTGGTCATGATTGACAAGATATGAATTGAATAAATATTTGGAATATCCGAGAAGCGTGATACCATTTGTTTAATTTATGCCAATAAATTAGCTTGAATGCTGTCAACTTTCAGATGCAATTTATATATTTATTTATTTTAAACTGATCAATTTCGTAATTATCAATAGCATAACACTAACATTGATAATTCGATTATTTTGGCAGACACTTTTATATTCATCTTATCAAAATGATTGTCAACCAACTTATCAGCATTAGACAATAAAAAGTATTATTAAACGATTTTTGAAACTTTAGATGTATTTTTTGCTGTGATAAGCTTTAGTCTTTGGTTTATTAATATTTATAACTATACAATGGCTTAATAATAATTATAACAAGTTGTTATTAACAACTACTAATGATACCATATCAAGATCAGCATTTTAACGTATGTTTAGAATAAACATTTTCCATTAGTCTTCACGTTGAAACAAGTATTTATTGTTGAATCAGAATAAAGCTATTTATTATTGTTGTACTTTTACTCCATTTATAAAAACATTGGAAAGAGCTTAGTTTGATAATGAACAGCTTAGTTTATTGAATTATAATGAATATCGTATGCTTTTACTTGCTTTTGTCATATAAGCGCCAAATTGCCAATGTCAAAGATCAATTGTTACTAAAAGGTAAAGCCATTATTGTTTTTATTATATAAATTTCAAGCTCCAGTATTTCTCGTTTTTTAACCTAACAATGTAACATATTTAATTTTTTTCAATTTCACGCAGGAGAAGTTTTTGATTTCGCCAGAAAATGCGATTTGCTAATCAATGTTTACTCGACGTTTCAAGTTATCTTGCATCGTTTGTCGTTTGACACTAAAATCGGAAAAAGTATGTTTGTGTTAATTATATAAAATCAATAAGCATCATATAGTAATGGTAGAACACTTCATTGCTACAATTGTAAATGTTGCTAATTTTTCATTGTTTAAGTCTATTATTTACACATATCTGAAAGTTCATGCAACTTGCATCAAGGCAAAATGTCACATACACCTAGTTTTTTCTAATTAGAATAGCTTGTCCTATACAAGCATTCACATAATTCAAACAATAACATGAAATGTGAATTTTGCCATTGAAATTTAAACTTAAGCAATTGTTTTTCATACTATATCTGTTTAATATGTTTTAAAAAATCACAATCTAATGTTGAAGCTTTTCTAATTGGAAAATTAATTTTACGTTCTCGCGTTTTTATATCCATTTTATTATTATCAGAATTTAAAACATGCATAAATGTTTCATAGCATGTTCTTTCAACTATTGATATACTAGAATGCATAAACTAAAGAATTTTTAGGCTCGGTAGTACCATACTTGGTTTGCAAAGTCGTATTAGATCATTAATTTCTTTTGTTTTTTTCTCACTGCGTAATGATTGCATAATCCATGAAATGCTTTTATACAGTATATAATTTAATTATTTAGTTGCCTCGTGTTTGTTTGAAGTTTGTTTCCATCAAAAAGTTCGATTCGCTGATTTTATGTTTTCTCATTCTGAATCGAATAAGACTAAATTTGGAAAAAATATGTGTGCGCGTGAATGTGAACAAATTTTTTATCGTAAATCGGCATTTTCTCAAAAACTTCTAGACCGATTTCAAAAATTTAAAAGCCATTCGATGTATCTGGATGAAGACTATCGTTTGTCAGTTTTGCGCGACGATAACGACATTAGTTTTGTCATTTCGATCTATTTTAATATTAATCTATTTTTCGAAATACTAATTTATGACTAACTGGTTCTTAATGCTAACGCTTCAAGCTCTCTAATACATTTTTTAGTTTTACACATGAAAAATTATTGTATGTAGCCAAAAATGCACAAAACTTGTTTTTTAATCCAGATTTCAGATTTCTCATATATTTATACCATTATTGAAAAATAATTAGAATGCGGCAAGTTATGATCGCTATTGACTAATATTCTTATTTAATTTAGATGTAAATAATTAACTAAGCATATTATTGCTGTATGTATCTTGTGAGAATCATATAAAATATTAAATATTCTAAGAATCTCAGAAGTTAATTATGAGGACGTACATGTGTGTACTTTATTCTTTTTCTAAATATTATTTGCTAAACCCTTATGTTATGAAAAACCTCACGTTGGATTTTAAAAATCTAAAATTCATTTATGGGTCAACAAAATAATCTATTTATTAGTGGTTTTAAGACATTATATTCACGATTTTGGCCGCGCACGAATTAACCGGTTTAAATGATTTAAAAACCATTCCATTCCTATTAATGAGGAGATGGCAAAAGCAGGTGCAGCCGGTTCGAAGATACGGGGCCAAAAATTGCAATTCTGTTTTTGAGAGAACCGAGCGTCCGATTTGAATGATTCAAAAAAATATTTTACTTTTATTGATAAAATGAAGAATTTAATAATTTTTGCGGAGGCAGGTCTAGCGGTTTTGGAGATTCAGAGAAAAATGTAAAAAAAATATATTTGGCAGTCTAAAATGATCATTAGACACATGCACATCAAATTGCCAGATATTTTATAGAAATTGTAAACATGCGCACTAATTT